AATAAATTTAAAAAAAAAAATTAAAAAATAAATAAATAAAACATTGGCCCCTGCACCCAGTGCCCGAGTGAGCTGGCACTTAGCAAACATGAGCTGAACGAGTGAATGGGCATGAGTTCAGTGGGTTTTCTATGGCTGGTAATTTAAATTCCTAATTTTATTCCCATGCACAGAATCCTTATCATCCGATCCTGAGGTTCTGCTTCAAATTGATGGTGTTACTGAAGACAAGCTGGAGAAGTATGGCGCAGAAGTGCTTGCAGTGCTGCAGAAGTACTCGGAGGGGACGCCGCCAGGTTCTGTGCTCCCCAGCCTGTCTGAATATTACACACTGAATATTACACACCAGATTAGAATTACAGGGTGTGGGGTTACATAATGTTTCCTTGACCTCATCACATTGAAGTGGAGGTCCTCAGAGGAACCCCGTGGCAAGTAGGCACCTCTCTAAGGACGCTGGCACTTGAAGATAGTCATGGAACCCACAGATAAGGCCTCTGTGGGGACCTGTGAGCTCAGGCGCTGCTGCCTCTGCTAAGGAGTCAGGAGCCCTGGGGACCATCTCTCATCTGCTACCCTGTGATCCTTGGCAAGGAACCCGCAGCCTTTCTGTGCTTCTGTGTCCTTATTGGAGGAAAGAATATGTTACTTAACATGTTTCTAACATTGTTATTATCTAACAATCATATCTAAAGATAAAATTGAAGAGTAGAGTTTAAATGTTTTGGAAGAATGAACACTGAACCATTAATTGCCACTGTGGTTAGTCATTTTAAGAACTCACTGTTGGGGCCAGGGAGATGACTCAGTGGAATAAGCGCTTCCTTGGCAAGTTCAAGGGCCTGAGTTCAATCCCCAGTTCCTCCAAAAAAAAATAATAATTAAGAACTCACTGTTAGCAGACCTTCCCAAAGACCCCTGTAGGCCTGTGCCGTAGCTTCACAGGAGCCTTGTCTGGGCTGAAAGTATTTGGTGGTAGGACAGTGTCCACTAACATTGCCATGCAGACCAGCCAGGTCCAGCATTTTCCTGTTTCTGTACTGGGCTGAGGAAGGGCAGCCTTCCGCAGGCCAGTGGCAGTGCTGAGCAGGACAGGAAACCACTGAGCACATCTTTCACACTCTCTTTCCATATTGGCAAAGTGCAGAAAAGTAGGATTTTCATAAATTCCTTTACATGGTAATTGTTCCATTAAAAGCCATGCTCTCAGTACCTTTGAGATTCTCTTGGTAGGAACATACATTTGTTCCATGTGGTATCTGGTCTGGAAGGGGCTTTTGTGACATAATATGAGGTAGCGTGGTGCTCTGTAGGCCTCCTTGTATCACCCCATCTTCATAGCACCCACTTTGTGTGTGTTGGAGGGAAGGAGGCTGCTTGCTGCTTTCCTAGAGTGACACACCTAGGCAACCAGGGCTCTTAGCCTAGAGCTGCAGTCCCTCCCCATGTGACCAGGGCTAGACAGTACCATGGTGGGATCCTGACCTCTCCAGGCCATCCCCTGGCAGCAGGCAGCCCAGAGGGTGTACTAGGCCAGCAGAAAATGGAGCCAGGCCACTGGGTGACTTGCAAGGAAATGTCTTGCTTTTGAGTTGCTTTGGGATGCAAATCCCTAAGGAAATTGCCATCTTCTTTGCAAATGTGTGCTTTCATCCAGGCCCATTCCCTGCAGTATACATGAAATGTTGACAGCACTTACCAAAGATGTGGCCTTTGTCTCTGAAGAGTTAAAACATAGTTTGAAATTTTCTGATGCCCATGTTATTAAAAAAAATTAGTTAAAAAAAAAAGAAAAAAGAAACCATTAGTTCAAAGATAAGCAGAACATAATTTATTATTTCTCTTATATTGTACTCTTTGAGCATATTTTCAGTGATAAATAATCGCCTAACATTTGTATTGCGATCTACATTTTTCAAATTGCTTACCAGGATTTACTGTCCAGTCAGTGACAAGGACACAAGTCAGGCTCAGCAGTTTGAGTGGCCCTAGGGTCTCTAGTTTAAAGATTATCACACATTCTCTTACCAATTTCTGGTTCCCTTTTGTTTAAAAAAAAAAAAAAAAATGGCATTGAGCATAATGGTGCTTTGTGGAACGATAAATGTGTGCCTCTTGCTGAACTGTTGAAGCTGGGTGGCAGGAAAGCAGCTGGGTCCTGGCTGAACTGGGTCCCCAAGCCATGTGTCTTCAGAGGTAAATGTCTGCATCTCTCTTCTGCAGCTGAGGACGCCTCCCCAGTGATTAGCTTGTGGGGCAACAGAGGCAGCGGGAGGAATGCCCCTGAGGAGCTAGAGGAGGAAATGCCTGTGTCTTCCCACTACTTCGCAAATAGAGCCAGAAATGAAAGAAAGAGGAAGAGGATGCCAGCCTCCCAGAGGCCTAAAAGGAGAAAAACTAGTTTTGGTGGCTTCAAAGCAAAGGGGTATGTTCCTTGACGTCTTTGGCAACCTAGGGTCTCAGGGAAAAAAGGACAAAAGTATGCATAACTCCTCTGGTTTGCTTTGAAGCATTTACTAAAATTAGCCATTATTTATTATTGCCTATGCAGCTAATGGGCTGATAATTAAGAACTGATCCATAATATAAACACTGCTTCAGTGTTTTTTTGGTTTGGGTTGGGTTTTTTGTTTGTTTGTTTGTTTTTGTGGGGGGGGAGCTGTTTTTTGGGTGGGTGGGTGGGTTGGTTGGTGGGTTTGGGTTTGGGTTTGGGTATTTTGAGACAGGGTCTCATGTATAGTGCAGGCTGGCCATGAACTCAGTGTAACCCAGGCTGGCCTCAAACACATGGCAATCTTTCTGCCTCAGCCTCTTGAATGCTAGGATTATCGGCATGCACCACCACACCTGACTTGGCCTTTGTGATTCCAGCCTTTAGAAGGGTAGCAGAGGGGTTGGTGAAATGGCTCAGTGGTCTAAAGCACCTACTTAGAACAAGCTTAGCAAAGCACAGGGACCATGGTTCAATCCCCCAGCACCACATGCCAGCCAGCCCCGCCCCCTGGTGGGCTGAGCTGGCCACACACACACACACACACACACACACACACACACACAAATAAATTTTTAAAAAAGGGTAGCAGAAAAGAGCCCACAAAAACACAGCCAGAAGGCCAGCTGAGCCCTATTCCTTCTGAAGCCACTTAAGGTCAGGTATGTGTGGCATGCATGTATGCAGGCCATGTGTGGCACATGAACAAGGATATGCGGCCTGTGCAGGTGAGGCATGGCAGGAGCACATGACTATAGACACACTGGGCCTCTTTAGAAGCTGCAGAAATGGTTTCCCACCTCCCCTTCCCGCTGTGCCTGGCCTCTGGGCGGGGCCGTCTGCTATGGGGTACTCCGCACACAGCAGGAGCAGAGGTGGCCTGTTCACACCTGGTACAGACACATGCTGTATATTTACACTGTTGCCGACAGCCTTCTCACCCTGCTTCTACTGGGGTGCACACAGGCCTCTATACCCCTTTTGCCTTGGCAGGATGGAGACCATCCCTAAAGTCTGGAGAAAGTAGCCCCAGAATAACTGTAGACTGTAGCAGAATTACGTGCAGGAATAGGAAAACAAGTCTGCAGTCCGCTTCTGCAAGCTGTTGTGTTCCTTTTGCAGTTTTTCTACCTCTTTTCCTTCTGGGTAATAAAAAACAAAAAGTGAGTGGGGGAAGAGCAAATGTTACTGAATTTTCATTTCTTGTTAAATCCATAAACAAACATCTTGTATGTGCTAATCCTTCTGCCAAAGTACAAAAATTAAGGGCATTCTAAATGTTAGTTTAATTTGTGGTTTTTAGTGCGCAAGTGACCGCCAGATACTCTTCAGTGAGGACATTTTCTTATTTCCTCCACTTATTTCTCTGCCTTAGGAAATATTTATTTCCTCAGTGGCTCTCAGAGAAGACCTTGCAAGGCGTCTGGTCCTGCTGTCTCAGGCCTGTGTGGGAGGGTGCATCTAGGCTCTTGTGACCTGGTCTTATTGCACAAGCAGGCTGCAGGCTGCCTGCCTGCCCACCCACCAGAGCTTTCATTTCTTCATGCCACCTTCGAAATATGCATGGCCTCTCATCTCAGTTTTACTCATTAGAATAAAGCAAACCATGCGACAGTACTCACCACCCTTGGTTCCCTCACTTGATTTTCATAGTGTGTGTTTGTGGGGGTGAAATGCTTACTGTGTCCCCGTAGAGGCCTAAGTTTCCTAAGAAGTCGTGAAGCCCAGCCAGGCCCCATCACCATGCCTTCAGTCACCCATGCTTTGAGAAGGGATTCTCTGCTCCCCACTGGCTCACACCAACTCCCCTCCAGCAGCCCCCGTGCATGTGCGCTTCCCTTGGCTGCCTGGTCCCTGGCCCACTCGCCTGGTCGTCCCCACACAGGCACAGAGATGCACTGAGTGAGGTTGTTGGCCATAGACCCTCAGTCCACCCTACCCAAGTGGGCAGCATACACTGAGCTGCTTGTGCTGGGCTGTAGTTGGAATACGATGGGGACCGGACCGGCAGAGATATGGAGGCTGCTGTTGGCAGATTCATTCTGTAAATCAGCATAAACAGCAGGGGCTTCATTTCTCAACAGGAAAGCAATGTAGGGAATCTGTGGCTGCTTCTCTACCGCTTGGGTACTTGGGCAGATCTTTAACAGATCTGCAGTAAAACTGCCCTCCAGCAAGAGTTGTAAAATGCTGAAAACCGCTCTTCACCCAGGGACCCCAGAATATTACCATCCAGGGCTTGTGGTGCTGTTTCACTGGTCCCTAAAGAGCACTAGGCGGCCATATGCCAGCCCTGGTGCTATGAGGTCACCAGGGCCCAGCCAGCAGAAAGCACCCCTAGGGATGATGCTGGCCCAGGGGTGTGTGTTTTGTTTTATTTGCAGTGGTAAAAGCTGTTATGCTCAGGTCAGCAAGGCAAGTGGCATGTAGGAAGAGTTTGGGGGGTTTTTTAGGAAGAGCTTTGTCACAAGCTGTGAAGGGGCTTTTCCCCTGGTTTTAAAAGACAGTAAGTGACTTGGCATAGTGGCACATGGCTGCAGTCCCACCTACTCGGAAAGCTGAGCAAGAAGATCATGAGTTTAAGGCCAGCCTGGGCAATTTACTAAGAACCTGTCTCAAAATAAAAAGGTATAGGGATGTAGCCCAGTGGTAGAGCACTCCTGGGTTCCACCACCAGTACCCCACATATAGAGGCAGTGGGTAGGAGGGCAGAGTTAACCGATCTTTGAATGTAGGCAAAGGAGCTGCCAGCTGCCTGGCCCTGACAGATGTGCCAGACTGCAGCATGAGGCAGTGCCTGGCCCTCCCCAGGGAGCTGGATCAGCAGCCTCCCCGGGGCTAGGCCTGGATGGGAAGAGGCTCTGCTCTTTGTGGCCACCGAGCCAAGCTCAGAGCCCAGCTCTGCTCATCGCTACTCACCCAAAAGCTGCCTTGCCTGATACTAGAAATACAGCACTTCTGGGGTGTCTCTCGGCCAGGGATTTTGGTGTTTCTTCTTCCTACATTTGGTTGGAATAGGCCAGAATATGTGGCTCTCAGCTGATTGCAGGCTGTGGAACATGTGGGTGGGGGAACAGCGTGGATTGGCCACAAGTCATAGAATTAAGAAACAACCCTTGACATTTCTGAATGACAAGTTCAGGACAAATTAGTGTGATGGGCAATGGTCCTTTATCCCAGGGGAATAGGAAATTTACCTTGTAGGGTGGGGTAGGGGGAGACACAGAAAATGCACGTATGTGAGACCAAGGAAGTTATAGATGATAACTCCACTGGGCTGAGAGAAGGCCCTTTGCTTTTATTTTTATTTACCATTTTAATTTTCTTTTTGCCACATTTAGGGGGTCTACCACATGCAGAAGGATGTCTTCTAAAAACAAATTCTCCAACACAGTTGGATCCAGCTCAGCCCTGCATAACTCTCAAGCAACATCAGGAGCCAGTAGAAAATTGGGGATTATGGCGCCACCAAAGCCTATAAATAGACCATTTCTCAGGCCTTCATATGCATTTTCCTAACAACCCAATGGCAGTGTGCGTAGATCTTTGTTGTCTGTCAGCATGACCATCTGTGACTACAGAGCTGTTAGTCTTGTTACACTATTTGAAATTTTTACTCCTATCTATTAACATTTAAATAAATGCTTGGGGTGCTAGTTTTTATTTTTAAAATAAACAATTTCTTTTGAATAGCATGTCTGGCCGCCACTGCAAGCATTGTGGCCATTTCTCAGAAAGTCTGAAGCAGGAGCTGAATCATCTCAGAAAGGAACTATAAGCATGACATGAAACCCAGAAGGCAGAGGCAGACACGCAAGGGACATTGTGAAACTGTAAGCTTCTTGTATAAGACACCACCAGCAGAAATAAGGCAAATGCCACAGAAAACAAAATGTACTAGTCAGTCGTGGTGGTGCCTGCCTGTAATCCCAATACTTGGGAGGCTGAAACAGGAGATCACCATAAGCTCAAGGCCAGCCTGGACTACGTAACAAGACCTTGTCTCCCAAAAAAGAGAAAAGATATATCACAAAGGATTTAAAAAAAAAAAAAAAAAAACAAAGATTAGAGTATATAGTAAACAAATAGTTTCTATGTTATTAATGAAAAGCCAGCATAGAAGACAACTGCACAAAGGATGTGAATAGAAAAAATATAACTCACAGATCAGTGAAAAATGCTGTCTTCTAACCTAAAATATGAGTTAAAACCATGAAACGCATTTTTGACTGTCAGATTGTCAACATTGGACTGATGTAGTGGTGAGTGCTACTAGTCCCAGGTTCTCAGGTTGCCGAGGTAAGAGGTTCACTTGAGCCCAGCAGTCAAAGCCAGGCTGAGCAACACAGGCCTCATCACTTAGGCCTGCTTCAGGGCACGGTGGCACATAGCTGTAATCTTAGCACTCAGGAGGCTAAGGCAAAAAAATTGCCACAAATTTGAGGCCGTCCTGGATTAGGCAGTGCAAGGCCACCCCAAACCACATAAGACCCTGTCTTGAAAACACACTTTTTTTAAATGTATTTAGTACAGGGTCTCACCACACAGATAGGACTCAGTGATCCTCCTGTTTTCGGCTTCCCAAGCACTGGGATTACAGGAGTGTGCCACCACGCCCAGTTTCAATCACTCTTAGCACATGGGGCAGAGCCAGCACAGCACACCAGGAATTAAACCTTGGTCACGGGGCCTACCTAAGCAGGCGCTTTAGTCTGCTGAGCTATCTGGCCAGCCCCTCGAAAACACACCTTTTTTTAAAAACCTTGAGCAGGCACCGAAAGTGCAAGCTTCCTGCTCCTGCCTGGTTTCCAGCCTCTCAGACACTCAGGACGGGGACAAATGCAAGCCAGTGAGCAGGAGTGCTGACAGCTGGGGCCTTGCCCACCTCCAGGGACAGGTAGCTCAGAACCTCGGGACGAGCAATTGCCGAGTGCCCCAGCTGTACCAAGGGCAGCCCAGCCCTGCTCTGCTCATGTTGGCTCCGCTGAGCCCCTGCACTCACCAAGGAGACAGGCGCATGCCATAGTAACCTTTATGTCAAAAGCAGCATTCTGAAAAGTTACATAATTCACCCAACCTACACAGCGAGGAAGTGGCAATAAGTAGGGTAACCTCCACTCACTTCACCCTGAAGAGTCCCAGTTTACATCTGTTGTCCAGTGTCATAATTAATACAACTCCCTTTCATCTGCAAAAGGGTTCCAGTGAATTAAAGTAGGTAGAATCCAGGTCTGTGCTGTCAAGAATCTGTGTTCTCTCCCAAGATGACCCAGGCTCTCTCCCAACCCCGTTTTCCAAAGCCTCAGGGCCACTAGCTCTGACCTGCTCTGCTTGAAATCACAGGCTCCAGGGACAGAGGCTGCACATGTGACAGCCAAATGTGGTTCTGTAGCAAACATCACAGCGGGCCCCAAGGTCTGCTGTGGCTGTGCTGAAAAGTAGGTAGGTAGCTGCACCTGTGAGGATGGGCATTTGCATATCTAGTGTCCCCAACAGGACCCAGTCCAGAGCACATGGACCCCTGTCCCACCTCAGCAGCTCTGGCCTCAGGGCCATCCCCACTGGGGCACCTGGCCTCTCCTTGGTCCTGTCACCCCCTCTTATCTCTGTTTAGGCTGTACTAAAAATCCAGGCTCTCCCCCAAGGCCTAGTGGCAGGTGAGTGACAAGACAGTGGCAAAGGCATCTGGACACCCTCTCCAGGAAGAGTAAGACAGGAGGATAGGGCCACAGGGCACTTGGCACCCAAGGCCACCTCCCTGTCACTCCCATTGTCCATTTGTTCTTTGGCCAATGTCCCCCATGAGTTGATTCAGAGTTGTGCAGATCACTGTGCATTAGGGTATCTGCAGTCCCCAGTGTCCCCTTGGGCTACCTGAAGCACCTAAGTTTACCTGCAGGTGGGGTTCCATACCTCACTGACCTCCCCACTGGGCCAGGTGGCTGCATCCCAGCTACGGCTATGGAGGGAGCCTAGCTGGGGTGCAGGCATCAGTGTGGTAGGTTTTGCTTAGAGCCACTCTCCTGGCCTAGCACCCAGCTGAGCAAGGAACAGGCTCCAGGCTTGAAGGAAGACAGTGAAGTGGCTCTATGGTCACAGTACTTGGGGTCAGAAGCCGATTTTACCACTTGCTGTGGAACAAAAGTAACAAGCTACCTGAGCCTCTGAGAGGTCATAGCAAGGTCACCCTGTGGTCCAGATTGTTACAAGGACAAGATTGAGCTCGGTGCTTATAGCAGGCCTGGCACTCACTGGACCTGAGCCATTGTTGCTATAGACTGGTGTTACATAGTTATTCTTTGTACAAATTTGTACAGAAGTTAACTGGCAAATAAACCAGCGAGAGCTCTCCCTTAGTGGGTTTACCCAATCTCAATCTGATCCTCCGAGCTGGGGAGATGGCTCAGTGGAGTAAGTGCTTCCCTGGCAAGTGCAAGTGTCTGAGTTCAATCCCTGGTTCTGCCAAAAAAAAAAAAAAAAAAGAAACAAATCTCTTTAGGGGAGCGGGTAGATAGCTCAGTAGAATAAGCACTTGCCTGGCAAGCACAAGAGCCTCAGTTCAATCCCCAGTTCCACAAAAAAAAAAAAAAAAAAAGCCCAAGTTGGCCCACACTTATGGAATGGGCCAATGCCCTTTTAGGGGTTGGGGAGATAGCCCAGTTGAATAAGCACTTGCCTGGCAAGCTCAAGGGCCTGAGTTCAATCCCCAGCTCTGCTAAAAGCCAGGTATGAGGCACCCACCTACAATCCCAAGTCCTAGCTGAGGCAGGAGGACTGCAAGCTAGAGCCCAGCCTGGGCAATTTAGTGAGAACCCGGGAGGTGTACCTCAGTGAGAAGGCCCCAGGTTTAATCCTCAGTGCACCCTCCCCTACCCCACCAAAAAAGCCTTGAAGTAGAAGGAAGTCCAGTGTCAGAGATTGTGCTTAAATGGCCAGCCAAATAGCTCAGTGGATTAAAGCGCCTACAAGCAGGCCCAGGGAGGCCCTGCCTCCAGGGTGTGCTGAGGTGACAATTGAGACTGAGTGTGGTGGCATGCACCTGTAATCCCAGCTCTTGGGAGGCTGTAAACAGGCAGATCACTACTATGAGTCCAATCTGGTAGTGAGACCCTGAACACCCTATAGACCCTTCCCCCCAACCCAAAAAAAAAAAAGATTGTGCTTAGCAGTGTAGCAGACCTAAGGCCCTGGATTCAGTGCTCAGCACCAAGAGGCTAATCAATCCATCGATCTTCTATGTCCATGTCAGCTCTCCAGCCACAATAAGCATGCAGATTCTGGAGTTCCAGTGATTGGCAGAGCAGATAGGCAGCACTGTAAATTAAGGGTCTCAGTCCAGACTCTAGGAGCCCCCAAAAAGTCAGAGATGGGCAATGGCAGCCACATAGACTCGTCAGCTATGGGCACTACTTTTGTGTGTCTACAATTTCTCTGAAGGGCCCTGACTGTCAAAGGGGCCAGCACCCCTGCAGGTCAAGAGACCCTGTCTCAGGGCAGCTGGAGAAGGCCATGGCAGGTCCCCATCAGAACAGCCACTCCCAGGAACAAGCCAAGCCCCCTGATACCGAGATCCTGGCAAAGCCAGGTAACAGCACCCCAAAGCAATAAAGCAGATGTGGATATGTGAAATCCAGTGTCACCCCAGTTAGTGGAACTGCAAGCCACCAGGAGCTGGCTTGGTCCACCAGCCCAGGAGATAGCATGGGAAGAGTCACCACACACCAAGCATGAGAGTTTCTTCATAGGGGCTGGGACAACAGGCCTGGCCTGTGTTACACCCAGCGCTGCCCAGGGAGGCAGTGGCAGAGTGAAGCTGTCTCAGGCTCTGGTTATCTCAGTTTGGTCCTCATCTGCACAGCTGGGCCTTACAAGCCTCAGTGGCTCCCTGGCCATCTCCCTGCACTGGTGAGAAGTCCATGCATGCAGATGAGGCCTTTAGGGTTGCTTCTGAGGCAGCTGGGGCCAGGCTGCCTGCAAACCCAGCCCTTTCCACCCTCCCAGATGTAAGGGGTTATCAGTCACTGTCACGTGTGGCTGGAAGCCTCTGAGGCCTGAGGAGCCTCCAGGGATCTAACTGGCAAGTGCTGTGCAGAGGCTGGGATGAGCAGCAGAGGGCCCCTGTACAGAGCATGGAATGGGGGAAGAGAGGAAGTGAGGCAGAGATCAGAGTGGCCCTGGGAGGAATGAAACTGCAGCTCTGTGGTGAACAGGGACAGTCCTTCCTGTGGCTACTGTGGCCTGACTAACTGTCCAGCCCATCACACATGTGACTCCTCAGTACAACAGAGTACACTGGACCTGACTGATCCCCCTTTGTGTAGAGGGGCTGACCAGCCAGGAACAGGTTGGTCCTGTCAGGTCACCTCAAGGTGCAGTGCAAGAGTAGGAAGCTGGGGACTGACAATGCATTGGTGCTGGGCAGGACACCTGGGCCCAACTGCCCCATCTGGCTCTGCTGCCTGTTCATGACCCATAGTGTTCTGGGCCTGACCCCAGCTATATCTGGCCCACAACCCAGGCTCTCTCCTTCCTTTCATTTCTTCTCCTTCTCCTTCT